TCTCTGTTCCTGACAAACGAAGGCGCTGTTGGCAGGCACGAAAAGGTTGAGGAGCTCCTTGTGAAACTGCCCTGGTGAGCTCAGGGGCAGGTGGCAGCCTGTGTGATCCTCAGGTCACCAGCCTGAGCCAAAACACCACGCTGACAAGGAAACACTTCCTGGTGGTGGCCTCCCGTCACGCTCCAGGGTGCTCGTCCGGCTGTGACCGTCTTCTCACAGAGGTGGTGTCCCCACCCGCCTTGCCTCCCAGCCTGCAGGGGCTAGACAGTCCTACTCACTTGGAAGGACTGTCATCACCTTTCCACCTTCCATTCTTCTCAGATCCCAGGTTCATGGTCAACAGTGATCGTCCCTTGGGCGTGTGTGTGTCTGTGTGTGTGTGTGTTGTCTGTCAGTAGGTGGGTCTTTGCAGGGAGGAACCAGAGGAATGAGGTAATAAGGAAGGCTCACTTGGCATCATCAGCCCCTGTTCTAGTCCACTGTTTACCTTTGCTGTTGTCTCCAGTTGTCTTCTTGGGGTAGATTCAGATTTTGCAAGAATCTGTGCCACTGTGTCACCTTGCCAGATGAGAGGAAAAACAGCATGTTGTCCATAGGCAGTGCCCCATGCGTTTTTTTCAGCTGGGTGTCCTGAGGAGAAGCAGGTACTTTATGGGCAGTGGCTATTCTTGGGTTTGGCTTTAAGAACCAAGTACCATCAAGGGTGGATGTTTCCCATTCTTAAAAAAATGAAGTAAAGAGATTGTATTTTGGGAATAGATAGCTAGAACTTGAATTCATAATGGTTCTTTAGTTTCACTTTTGCAATCAAATACCTTTAAGATTCCTAAGGCTGAACTGGAGATAACTCTTTACAAGTTCAAACAGTTAGAACAGGGTAAATTTTCAGCTAAGATATTCCTGCTACAGTAGGAATGATGTTCGTATTTTACCTGGTAGGATGGCACCTGTTTTTCCCCTTTGACAGGACTTGAGAAAAAGCAAGGGTGGTTCAACTTAGTTGTGCTGGTGAAAGAAAAGGGACCTTGATTTTGCTCAAGTGGTGATGTCTCCACTGCTTCATCACCTTATGGGTTAAATGAAAATGTTGTGGTCACCAGCTTCAGGGGAGCCTGCCTCACACTTGCTAGCCATGAGTTCCTCCCTTTCATCAGGAAAAGAGTGTGATGCCTGGATAAATAAATAATGACAACAGAGGTCAGTTCAGCATTTTGCACCAGTGTCATTATTAATGCAGGGAGTGCCAGGTGCTGTGGCAATCTAGGTGGTAAATATTCAGGTCCCGTCTATTAGGAGTGCTCTTGTTTTGGGATTAAAGGCAGATTTTAATTCATTTATTGGAAATCAGGTACTTAGAATAATAAGTGACTCTCAGAGATACCAGAAGTAGGTGACAGTGAGATTGATGACCACCCTCCTCTCCAACTTTGAAAAGTTAGGTACAGAATATCTCAATAGGGTTCAGTATTTTTAAAGTATATATACACACACACATATACTTAATATATGGAGAAGGAAATGGCAACCCACTCCAGTATTCTTGCCTGGAGAATCCCATGGACAGAGGAGCCTGGCGGGCTATGGTCTGTGGGGTCACAAGAGTCGGACATGACTAAACCACCACCCCGCTCACATATGCTTAATATATACACATACTTGAGATATATGGGTTTCCCTAGTGGCTTAGAACGTCATCTGCCTGCAGTGCAGGAGACATGGGTTAGATTCCTGGGTCAGGAAAATCTCCTGGAGAAGGGAATGGCAACCCACTCCCGTGTCCTTGCCTGGAAGATTCCATGGGCAGAGAAACCTGGTGGGCTACAGTCCATGGGATCTCAAAGAGTCAGACATGACTGAGCGACTAATACTTTCATATATATATGTGTGTATATATACACACATACATACATACATATATCCATATATACATACATATACAAGATCTAGGTGATTTAAGGTTAAATATAGTATAAAATATGCCTCATTACCCTTAAAAATATTAGCAACAAATAAGTTCGTTTGAGAGGCCAAGACCCTATTTTGTGAGTGTAGAGATTTGTGTACGTATCTGAATTTCTGCCTTGAGCTATATTTTGTAAAGTCTAGTTTTGCATTGCTGAGGAACTTTTCATGTTTGATTTTGAGAGTTTCAAAAATTTTACTTCTCTCTCTAGCTTCATGCTAAATACAATACAGAGGTTAGAGAAGACAACCTCAGTTTTGATTGTTCATCACATTTGTCAATAAGACATGCCTCAACTATTTAAGGATTTGTGTAACACAATACCAGTGTCTTCATGGGGAACTGTTCAAATTCTGAGGCAGCTTGTTTTTAACTTCCTCTAACCTGCTCTGTGTTATTAGGTAAAGAATCCTATTTTTCTTCATCCTTAATGACATTCACAATCATAGATTTGTAAAGATTACAAATCTTTTTAGACAATGGGCAAACGTGGCATGAGTGTAATATAAACTTTGTTCTTATTTTTATATTTTATATTGACCACACAAGTGGATGGCTGCTGTTGTTCAGTCGTTAAATCGTGTCTGACTCTTTGAGCCCCAAGGCATGCAGCACACCAGCCAGGCTCCTCTGCCCTCCACTGTCTCCGAGAGTTTGCTCAAATTCATGTCCATTGAGTCAGTGAGGCTATCCAACCATCTCATCCTCTGCCGCCCCCTTCTCATTTGCCTTCCGTCTTTCCCAGCATCAGGGTCTTTTCCAGTGAGTCAGCTCTCCGCATCAGGTGACCAAAGTGCTGGAGCTTCAGCTTCAACATCAGTCCTTCCAATGAATATTCAGGGTTGATTTCCCTTAGTATTGACTGGTTTGAGGAGAAACAAGTAGATGCCATCATTTTAGTCAGACATTTCTTTTTGAGACTTTTTTTTTTTAAATCACATTTTTGAAATCAGTACTTTTTCAATATCCATTTATTCTGGTAGACTTTCAGTAAATGATACAATTGTGAGAATTTTTGTTTGTGTTTTTCTTTGTTTTAGATACAAATTGTTGGCTACTTTCTTGCTGTGGTACTGGACTAGTTATATTCTATGTATTAGGAAATTTTAATTTAAATGTTTTTAAGAAATATCATTTTCTAAATTTTAAGTCAGCATACTTCACTAATATCCCTATGTAAATATTCATTAGATTACTGTTTCTATTGATATATTGATATCAGTAGATATCAATTGATAGATAGTTCTTCTTCATTTAATTTATATGTATATAAATTAATAATTGAATGTCAATAGAAAATTTACATAAATGATTTAGATAAAATACTAAATGTAAAAAAATAACATATATCCATTTTTATGTAAGTTAGCCTGTGTTTTTGCCAGTTTGCTCAAATTAGCAAATAACTTTGGTGAGAGTTCCAGAATATAGATCTTTCATTTATAGTTTCTTTTATTAGCTTCAGCAAGTTGATATATTTAATATCCCTATTTTAAAATGAAAGATGTTAATTTGAATGAACATAAAATACAGTGTACAAAATATTTCTTTAAAAAACAAGCACATGATCTGACTTGATTATGAATTTGTTAATAGGTCAGATAATGATTCTTGATAGATGAGTTGATAATACCACATTCCACCTTCATAATTAAGTATCAAGGGTCTATTCTTATGCAACAATTTCTTTAAGGCTGAGTAAACATGATCTTAATTAAACACATAGATAATGCTGAGGGCTGTTGATTGCTCCAGTAAGGAAAGTAAAATGATGTAGCCTGACCTTAAGAAATTATAAATATGAGAATGTTGACAAATGATAATAGGTAGCAAACATCTAAAAGAGGATTGGTTCCCCAAGTCAATATTGTGGAAAGAAATTTGGTTTGGTTTTGAAATGTGTTATTCAGAAGTATTGAGAAATGTTCCTTTCATATATTTTATACAAACTCTCAAATAAGTCCACCATATGTTATTTAGAAGTAGGTGAAAATTCCTGTTTAAAGAGTACTGTAACCGAGATATATTCTGAATTAAGAAGAAATTATAATAAATCTGTAATGGTGGTTAAGGGCAGCTCTAGTGTAGGAGGATGGAATTACAGTGAACCTTATAAGTGAATTCAATGAGGTAACCTGCTGGTTTTTATTATCCTTTTCTAACCATGGTTATGATGTAGCAGTCTGCGCTGCAGAAAAGCAAAGGAAAGTAAGATAATATCCACTTCATCATCAACTATTGTGTTATGCTTTAAGGCTTGGGAATGTTACTTTGGAGTCAAATTAGCCATTTTATAACTTTCTAGTATCAGAAACAGGAAAAAATAGTGGACCTGTAGTTGTTGCCCTGTGCATATATGTAGCAATTTATTTCTACTCACTGGGTACCAGGATAAAAAAACAGTAGGTAATGTGCCTCTGAGAAAAGGCCTTCATTGTTATTTTAATACAAACTGGAATCTGTTTTTATGATTTCAAAAATATTTATTTTAATAAGGAATTTGAGTACGGTGTGAAGATGAAAAATGAATGAGTAGTGAAATATTGTACATGTATCTTAGGCATCAGCTGTTTTATTGACAAAAGGCACAAGTATGAAATTTGTCTAAATAATTAGATTTTTAATTACTGCATCATTGTAAGATTAATGTCATTGCGCTTCATTGCATGTAATTTTGTATTAGAAATTTCATGTCAACAAAGCTGCTACCTGTGGTTTGCTGATTTGAATCCTTATCACTTATGTGTATGGCATGTTACATATTTGCAGTCAAGAGCTGAAAGAAGGCATTTGATTATAACTTCACTGGTGGTGAAGAATATTGATTGTGTTATATATGATATGAATATATTATGTTTTCTGCTATTCAGGAAACAACCACTTTTCAAATATTAGTGACTGCATATTGCAAAAATTTTAGAAGTAACATGAGCAGATACATTGTTCAGTCTAAGCTATGTCTACTTTGAACATACTTGAACATTATGAATGCTAGGTTCTCTTGTTTTTTAAACTGTTTTTCCTTTCCTTTTGACAGTTGCCGAACCAGCAACAGGAAAAGCTTGATAGGCAATGGACAATCCCCAGCATTGCCTCGGCCCCACTCACCTCTTTCTGCTCATGCAGGTAATGAATTACTTTGAGTTCTGTTTTGCTTATTCTTGTATTTTTGTTTTTTCTTGCAGTTTTTAAAAGCTGGGCATTTTGAAATTTGGATGTGTCTCCACACCTTGTTATCTTGGTTTCTCTGTTGCTTTATCACTAAGTTGTTCTTTTTGAGAAGTCAGCCCATTCTCTCTTTGAGCACGTGAACTCTGAAAGTGAGAATTCCTTTTTATTTCTCATGAGGACTTATTTCAGTTTTGTTTTGTTTTGTTTTTTCATGTCTAAATTTGTGGATGATGCAAGTCATGCTTCCATGTTAGGATTTCCTTTTGGACATATAGCCATGATAATTCACATGCAGTGGATTAGTGTTAAGAACTGTAGGGAAACAAAAATGTCTTTCTCTTTCCCCTCCTGACTTCTCCACTGGGAACCCCGGTAACCAGAGACAAATTACAAAAGAAAAGCATGCACATTTATTTAATATACATTTTATGGAGCATTCATAAGGAAATGAAAATCCAAAGAAACAGTTAAATTAGTTTTTACAGTTTTGATCAAGAGTGGGGAGCCGTGCAAAGATGTATAGGACAAAGGTGGGCTAATCTTAGTAAGCTGGGGAAAACTCAGCAAGACATGTTTGTTCAGATTCTTCTGTGTCCCTTGTCTTCAGAGATAAGAAGTCTTCTTTCCTCCGGGTGTAGAGAGTGTGCCTCTCACATGAAGGTTTTATGACCTGCTTATGGGCAAGACAGAAGGCCCTTCCTCCATACGTTGTTCCTCATATCCCTTCACCTTAAAATATTCAATGTGCCAGTGTTACGTATTTTGGGGTCTCAAGTCCTAAAGTGTGTCAGAACTATTCAGCATTTTTCTCCCTAAAGTTGAACTTAGCTGTTATGTACGTTAACTATCACAAACAATGATGCTCTGAGCAGTCTAGAACATGTCTCCTCTAATATGTGGGCAGGAGTTTAAAGTCTTACCTGCCAGTGGTGTATATATATATAACTTACCTTTACATCTAGACCCATTGCAGGCACAAAGAAGATTCAAAAGATGAGACTTTTGGCCTCAAGAGCTGATTAGAAGGATGGTAGAACCACATTACAAAAAAACTATAAAATGAAGACTGCTTTTTATTTTTTAAAAAATTCTGTCCAAGGTGGTACAAAAGGGTTAATGCCAAGCAGGAGAGTTTGGGAGCTGTTGAAGGAGCCACTTGCACATGATGTTGAAAGGTGCGCAAGACTCTGGTTGGTAGAAATGGGATGAGAGACAGGGGAATTCCTACTGTGTGGCTAGAGTGTGGGATGTGTGTGCTTGATTGTATGGGAATATAAAGGTGAAAAGAGATATGGGAATCAAAAAGGAGAATGAATTTTGACTTTGAGTGCCTTTCAGAGATTTTGTGGAGGATCTGTAGGAAGATGTGCTCAAGATTATGGGGGATGTTGGGTTAAAAGGACAAGTGATTAAGCCCTACATCTGATATACTCTTGTGGAAACTCTCACATATAGGTGTTCAGATAGTGTTGATTTTATATTTAAAGTAGGGTATGACTGTCTCCTAGAAAGCAGTCCTTCTGCTCAGTGGGAATCTCCAGTTGAGAGTGGAAGTTATCTAAACATATTTGGGGATGAAACAGGAGAGAGAAAGAGGGAGGTAGATGCCCCTTTGGAATGAAGTTTTATTTTCCTCCTAAATAAAAGATGGTAAAGTTAAAAAAGCAAACGATAAGTTCATAAAATTATGATACTGTATGCAGTAAAACTACTCAAGTCCAGAAATACTACTCCTAGGCAAAACTTTATAGATTCTCCTCCATGTATATGCAAGAAGACATGTTCTAGACTACTCATAGAAATGTTGCTTGTCGTAGCTAAACATTTAAAGGAATGCAACCCAAATGTCTGTCAGTTAGAAAATGGGTAAATGAATTGAGGCATAGCTATCCACAAAGCGCTGTTTACGTAGTAAACAAATGAACTAGCACTCAAAGATGGTGTTGGGCATAAAAGCTAGTTGCAGAAGAATCGCACTTAAACCATACCTATAAGGTTACCATGATGCTACATGCAGTGTTTTCTTTAGGGGTACACATGTGCGCACACACACACACACACATAAATATGTATCTGTGTATATACATTTGTCAGCTTCCCAGGTGGCTCAGTGGTAAAGAGTCTGACTGCCAGTGCAGGAGACCTGGGTTCAATCCCTGGGTCAGAAAGATCCCCTGTAGAAGAAAATGGCAACCCGCTACAGCATTCTTGCCTGGGAAATCCCATGGACAGAGGAGCCTGGCGGACTACAGTCCATGGGGTCACAAAGAGTCGGACGTGACTTAGCGACTAAACAGCAATAGCAACAAATACACATTTGTAGTAAGAGTCTAAAGGAAAATACGGTCACTTGAAAGACCTATCTCATGGTAGCAGTTACGTCTGAGAATGTGTGAGGAGGTATAATTGTGGAGAGGAGTAAGCAGTTGCTAATATGTTTCTAAAGCTGAATGGTAAGTACACAACTATTTATGTTGTTCCTTTTATACTTTGGAGATTGATATTGTATTGTCATTTTAGTGAAAGCTGACCAGAGGGTCAAGCAAGATCAAATACTTTGCGTAGGGGCTGGAATTATCCCTTTGTTTTATCTCTGTCATTCCTGTCAGACTGCCACCAGTATATACCAGGTTCTGAGTATATGACTTCCCTGGTGACTCAGAGGGTAAAGCGTCTGTCTACAATGTGGGAGACCTGGGTTCGATCCCTGGGTCGGGGAGATTCCCTGGAGAAGGAAATGGCAACCCACTCCAGTACTCTTGCCTAGAAAATCCCATGGATGGAGGAGGCTACTGTCCAGGGGGTTGCAAAGAGTCGGACACGACTGAGCGACTTCAAGTATATGATACATTTTATTTCTTTTACGTAGTTCAGCTGTGATTTAAAGCATTTAGCCCTACTCCTCTTTATAGTGTTCTGTATTGATTGCATGATACTGTTGTGCCCGTTGATGAGGCTTTTATTACCATGATTCTCTTCAGTTCTGATATTGAGATTAAATAATATGCAGTAAGACTTTAATGATCCTTTTAATTATTTTTCTTTTCTCTATGAAGAATTCTTTCCCCTTCAAAGCATAGTTTTGTATTTAATCAGAGGAATAATGGGCGAAGAAAATCCTGTTTTTCAGGTTCCAAGAGACTTTTTCTTTATGTTACAGAGCCAGCAGGTTGTTATTCACTCAGAAACTGTAGAGAAATCTCTTGGACTTTTTGTGAGAAATGGCATTTATCGCGGTCTGGTCGGTTCCTATTTCTTGAAAGAAGGAAGAAAAGGTTAAGTACAGGACCCATCCTCACACCTTGACAGTGTGAAATGCCTGCTCACCTCTTGCTGTTTCTGCATTCCCTACTATGTATGGTCCACAGACACCAGGGCACGGTTCCTGGGTGTCCCCGTGAGAAGCGAGAAAAAATAAGTGCCACCTCTCAGTGCCTAGTCACCCAGCAGATACACTTTCTGTTTTTCTTAGGTAAGGATTATGTGTCAGGACACTCATCACTGACACATGAATTTATACCTGTCAAATGAATCGGTAGAAATGAAAACATTAATTTATTTGTGTAGATGTGTCAGTAATGCCCTGAGGAAGAAGAGATACTGGCATCGTGTTTTGGAGCTTATCTCTGCAGACAAAATAGTCTTTGTTGACAGACAGGGATTCCTTAAAGAACTGTGATCAGGACAGTCCCATTAAAAGAAAAAAGAAAGGTAAAAATCACAAGTTTCTAATGCTAAGTGTGAAATTTAATGCAGAAGTCTCAAAGGAAAAGACTGGTATGTCTCTCCTGAATTGAAAAGTTTTGTGTAACAAATGAAATCAAAGGAAAACAAAGTGTGAAAAGTATTTTTAAACCTATAACTGAGAGACATCTGATTGCCTTAATATACGAAGAACTTGTGTAAATTGATAGGGAAGTGGTGAATGCACCACGAGAAAAATGATCAAAAGATGTAAAAAGGTACGTCACAGGAAAAAAATTAAATTGGCCAACAAAAATGTGTGAAATGATGATTCATTTCTATTATAAGAGAAATATGAGCCAGAATAATGAGATGGTGTTGTTCACCTAGCATGCTGTCTAAACTTTCCTAACGCTGATAGAATTCGATGATAGCAAGGTTGTAGAGAAGCAGCCCCTCTCAGATCACTTAGGTGTCGATGTGAATTGGCACAGCACTTTTAATTAGTTTGTGATATTGGTTAAAATTGCAACTTCATTTACCCTTTGGCAAATCCACCTCTAGGAATTTATCTTATTGATATCTCACACGGAAACAGAAAAGGGTAAGTCTAGCATTGCTATATGGCTTCCCTGGTGGCTCAGATGGTAAAGTGTCTGCCTACGGTGCGGGAGACCTGGGTTCAATCCCTGGGTTGGGAAGATCACCTGGAGAAGGAAATAGCAACCCACTCTAGTACTCTTGCCTGGAAAATCCCATGGACAGAGGAGCCTGGTAGGCTGCAGTCCATGGAGCCACAAAGAGTCAGATATGACTGAGCGACTTCACTGAGCATTGCTTATAACTAGCAAATGGAAAATTAAGTTGTTACCACTTTATATTTTATTGTACCCTTTATTTAGTATACCCTTTATTTATTAAGTATACCCTTTATTTATTTAGTGAACCTTTTATTTATTAAGCATCTGATTTAGTAGGAAATAATACAGGTATATAACCCAAGACTTCATGTTTGTTACAAAGAATGAGGTGGGGGCTTTTATATTCTGATATATGAATGCTGTCCAAGATAGACTATTCAGTGAAAAAATACATTGTGTAATTTTATATATGTGTGTGTGTGTTTGAGTGCATATACACATACAAACATACTTGTATACTCATACATATTCTTAAGGAATTTTTGGAAAGATAAATTTAACAGTTTTAATCTTTGGAGAATAGGAAAGTAGGGAAATTAGTGGGTAATGCTTTTATAATAAAGTAAGTTT